CTTGGTATCAGCTCATTTTCCCCCTTCCCCACTTTCCCTCACTCATGAGCCCTTGATAATTTAGAAATTGCTTTTTTTTTCATGTTTTACACCAACCACTGTCTCCCTTTACCCACTGTTGTGTCTTCCTGTGGGGGTGGGGAGGGTTATATGTAGATCATTATGATTGGTGCCCCTTTTCTCCCCCCACCTTCCCCTTCCCCTCCTGGTATTGCTGCTCTCATTATTGGTCCTGAGGGGTTATCTGTCCTGATTCCCTGTGTTTCCAGCTCTTATCTGTCCCCGTGTACTTGCTCTGGTCTAGCCAGATTTGTGAGTTGGAAATGGGGTCATGATAGTGGGTGGGGTGTTGTGGGGGGGTCGCATTAAAGAACTAGAGGAAAGTTGTATGTTTCATTGGTGCTATACTGTACCCCTGACTGGCTCTTCTCTTCAGCCTCATCTTTCTCAGAGTGGCTGGTGGGTTCAAACTGGTAACTGTATGGTTAGCAACTCTGTGTGTTAACAAACTTCACCACCAGGGATCCTTAGAGGGTGATGAATTATTTTCTAAATGATTTCCCTTCAGTATGTTTCTTGACCTTTCTTTTGGAGCTAAGATTAATCCAGATATACTGGAACTACAATTTTCTGAACCATTATTTCTTTTCATTTATTTGCCGTTCTACTGTCAGGATTGAACTAAGTAGTATTTTAGATAACTGATTGTTACAACATTGTAATATACTTTTTAAAGAGCTGTAAATTCTGTACTGTCTCATAACATATTGTATTTTATGAATTGCTTAATATGTAACAAAATTTTTATGTGTGTATATATAAAATACTAATTTTGTAATTAATGGCATCGTTTGATTTTTGTTTCTTAGGTAGCTACATCAAACTGGGTGCCAGGCAGATCCAAAGGATATCATGAAGTTTCCAGGACCTTTGGAAAACCAGAGATTGTCTTTCCTTTTGGAAAAGGCAATCTCGAGGGAAGCCCAGATGTGGAAAGTGAATGTTCCCAAAATGCTTACAAGTCAGGTAATAATTCCTCTCTTCACTCTATATTATAGGTTCCCAAATTTATGTGGCTTACTGCCCCCCTTTTAAGAAAAAAAATTACTCAGTACCTCTTCTCCCTAGCAATTACAAACTTGTACTGTAACCCACAGTCCAGGTTAAAGTGTTAAATCCACAATCTTTTACAGACCCCCTTTGTTCCAGTTCCTTCCAAGGGGTGGTATTATTCAGTTTGGGAAACACTGCTATAGATAGTTTTATAAGATATATGTACCATATATTCTCGAGTATATGCTGTTTTTTCAGCACATTTTTAATGCAGTTTTTATGGTAAAATTCGGTACCTTGGCTGAGATTCGGGTCGGCTTATACTCACATACATACGGTATTTTTGATATGGGCTTATACTCATATATATGATACGTTATGCCAAGTATAATATCTTGGCAATGGCAGCAGAGGAATGTGTGCTGTTAAGTAATGTGCCCTGTTAGGTATTTCTTTCTGAAATAAGAGTAAGCTGCTTTGTCTGCCTTGTTTTCCGAGTTACAACTTTACGAATAGTTTTTCTCCTTTATCCTGGTCTAATATTAATAGTAGTAAGCTTTCTTTATTTCTAGATATATATAGTTATTGGCTTGAAGCCAAACGTACTGCTAAAGCAGAGTGTTATGTCTTTCTCC